GAGACAAGGCTAGCAGGGAAGGGTATCGGACACCAGCCTGCACAGCTAGACAGGAAAATGGCCCACACCTGTCCAACGACTGAGACAGCTTACAGGCCTGTCATTCCCCTTAAATATTTTTCAAATGCTTGACCTTTCTATTTACCTTGAACTGCCTTTTCTCTGCACACCTCCAGGTTCCACACCATCACAAAATCCTGTGATGCAGAACAGATCAGAGGCGGGGCTTCTCGATTTCCAAAAGCTATGGCAGTAATTGCCTGCAGGTGTCCTTTGAGGATTAGAAGCTAAAGGATGAAAGGCAAAGCAATCAGAGTTACATACAATATCTAAAAATAAAAGAAAAAGCCCAAGAAATTATGTAGATTAAAACTATCACATGCATAAATTTCCTGCCTTCACTTTGAATTCACTCGCTAAGATTCTGCGCCTCGGGCCAACCCTGTCAGGGGAGCCATCTGTCATCACCCCACCTCACTCGCTGACAGTGATGCAGGCAGCACCACCCTCCCTTTCTCTAGAGCCTGTGACAAGCGAATGTATGAGGAGTCCCCACTGCAGACAGAAGGGGAACCAGTTGAGTGGACAGCTGCAGAGGAAGCCACCACGCCAGGAGACCCTGGCTTGGGAGGAGTGGGCTGGAGGCCGTGTGGGGTCCTGCCAGCAGCCATGGATGCTAGAAACAGGTGCAACTGGCCTGGTGTTGACACTTGCGTGGAGCTTGGCCAGTGCGTGAGGGCCCTGGAGGCCAGCAGAGGAATCTGAGCTGAGGAACAAAACACAACTACGAGGCCAGCCTCACTTTTCTTGTTGCTGGAACAAAACACCTGACGCCAGCAGCTTGAAGGAGCAGAGGTGCACCGTGGCTCACGTTCTAAGTTTCAGTCCATGTTTGCAGGCTCCAAATAGAAACAGAAGGCAGAGGACACCATGAAAAAAACCAGGGCCTGTCACTTCTGACCAGACCCTACCCCCCAGCCCTGGGCTGGCTCCAACACCCCACAGTGCAGTCACATTCCACCAGCCCTGCCTCTGAGCACACGAGGCTTGGGGAACACTAGTTATGAGTCATAAGTACCAGTATGGAGGACAGATGAAAGTGGGGCTCAGCGGGCCAGTGAGACAGGTGGCAATGGGCAGACTGTGTGAGGAAGACAGAACACAGGCCCTGACACAGCAGTGGGATGCACAAGAGAGAAGCAGGTGGCTGGCAGACTCCATGACCAACAGACACAGAGGGACAGAGGGAAGGACAGCACAGCAGGACTTGGTGCAATAGACTGAAATGATAGCATGAGAAGAAAGGAGATACATGTGGAGGCAGGAAGAGACCCAAATGGTCGGGACCATTTGGTCCATGGTGAGCAGATGCACAGACAGGTGGACATCCGACAGACCATTTGGTCCATGGTGAGCAGATGCACAGACAGGTGGACATC